ATCCAAGATTCTGTGCTCTTGTATGAAACTTCTGTGTGCATCTGTCTACCACATTTGTCTTAACAAAAACTAATAATTAAGCAGATCTTCTGCAACCTCATCTTAATAGTTGTCTTACTACTGTCCTAACTTGGTCTTGATATGAAAGGATATGAGAGAGGGGAGTTGCTAATACAATGATGTAAGAAATTTACCTCCTTCACTCTATTTCTACCTTGAGCACACATGTTAAATTTATCAGCTTTGTTCTAGAAATTAAGACCAAATCAGATGTCATCTATTCGCATTTTAATATAATGAAATTCATTCCAAGTTGAATAAAGTTAAAATTAGATTTACCATTAAAAAGAGAGAGGGAGGAAAAATCAAAGTTTCATATTGTAAGGGAAAAATAATCACAGTATAGTGTCTTATACATAAGCCTCATTTCATTTCAAGGGGAAATAAGTATATTGTTAATAAATTTTAAATCTCATAAGTTATAAACTTATTAATATGTTCAAATAGCATTGTTAATTAAAATATTAGGAATTGATCGGTATTAAAATTTTAAATAACACTATTTAAATACTTATGTTTAATATTCATGGTAAAGCATCATGAGTGGTGATGGAATAGCTCTAATAGCACATGTATCAGCTCACATGAAACTGGTGTGTGAAACATGACCTTGATACTTGCTTCATTTTAAAAGTACTGCCACTATGCAGAGTTCAAATACTGTGTAGCATCCGCCCCCAGAGCAGGGAACTTAGACATTAATGTGTGAAGGTGGACTCAGAATAATACTCTGCACCTTTTCTCTTCTCAGGACCTAGTGATCCAAACCTATCTTAATACTGTTTATTCTCTCTATCTCTTTTCACCTATAGACCCTAAATGTAAGCATTCTCTAAAGCTCTTATTTAAAATATATTAGCAAGAATTACTTATTGTGCATCATGTTCCTGGCCTTGTGAGTTTTTATGCTTTATCCCATTTAATTCTTAAAACATCCCATCGTAGGTATTTTATTATCTTCATCTTAGAGAGATGAAATAACTTGACTGACATCCATACCAGTAAGACAAGGAGCTTACTCTTGCATCCAGATGTCTGCTTCCACTCAGCTCTGCTACTTTCAGGAGGAGCTCCCAAAATGTAGAAATTGGGGTTCCATAGGATATGGTGTAAATCTTGCCAAGTGACTAGATATGAGAAACAAACAGAAAGATGATGGAGTCAAAGAAAACTGAGATTTAGATTCTGAGTGACGGGGAATTGTGGGATCGTCAATCAAAGCTGGAGAATTGGAATAAGAAACTAAAAATGAAGAATTTTTCTGCTATAATTTTTAATGTTGAAGTAGAATATCTGTAAAAAATTAACATTAACAAAATTATAGCTGTAAATAGACCTGAAGACTGGAAAAAGTGAAAGATAATAATGGATGTGAAAAAGAGGGAACAGGAGACAGCAATGAAACTTCTGTTTGGGGGAAATTAGAAAACATTTTTTAAAGCCATTGGTTATGTGGACCACAATAGAAAACCAACAAGATTCTATTAGGAGTGTTAGATAATGGGCCTAGACGACGTCGATAATACAACTTTGTTGTAGACTTCTTTGATATTATTCTGACATTTTCTCCAGCCCTTGGTGTGCTGGAAAAAGAGAAAAAAAAAAAGTGGGAGTTGTACAAGACTGAGAACTGATAAATGCAGAAAGTCAGCAGAGCTTCTCCAGCAAGTGATAACAAACTGGATATTATTATACCCCTGAACACAGTGAGGTAGGGAAACAAGTGAAACCAAAATTGTGACTATAAGTTGAGAGAAATGGAAAGGGGGAATGGATAAACAATGCCAGTGATGACGGAGAGAGTTCAATAGAAGGACAGAGGGGAGGGACTGAAGGACAGAAAGTGGAGGTCAGAGCAGGACATTGCTAAGTGAAAGATCTGGAAAGTGGAGTGTTTTAAAGTGAGGAAGTAATTCCGGATGTGAATGCACTGCTAACGAGTGGAGTTGAAAGCTACTGGAGACAAGGGTTAAGGACCTTTATGGCTCAATTTTTAAAAGTTCAAACTCTAGAGCCAGACATTCTTACGTTTGAATCCTGGCTGTGCCACTTGTGATCTGAAGGTATTTAAAGGGTTTCCTAACTTCTCTAAGTTTCTTAACTTTTCTAACAAACTTTGGGGTGAGAGAGATAAGAGTGGTACTATGTACATTTTTATTTTAAAATTTTACATTTTAAAGTGTGTAAAACGCTTAGCAGAGTTTATCATCCAAGTTAGATTTTACTATCATTGTCATTATTGTTGTTGTTAAAAACTATCCTCAGTTATTCAGGGAAAAAAGGACAAGGAAGCAATCACATGACAAAGTATTTCTTAATTTAAATTCCAAGAACCTGCCTTAAAGTGTAAATTTCAACCAACCCCAACCAACTCCATACTGTCTGAAGTAGAGTGAACAGGTCAGGAGCAACCACTTCATGACTTTGAACAAGGAAACTTGAAGGTTGAACATTTATTGTGTCTATTACCAAGTAAGATCCAAGAGAAAAGGGTAGATTTGAATGCTCAGGGGATCCTTCTCTCACCCACACCTCTGATGAAATTGTTGACGATCAAGGAAATGACCAAAAAGATGACTTCCAAAGAAAAAGGAAGGGAAGATAAAGATCTAAAATTCATCTATTCCACAATTAAATGCCAAAAAATCCAAAAAAGACATGACGGTAATTACTTGTAATGAAGTGGGTTATTTACCAGATAAAATACTCGAAGACAACTAAGAAGTGGGGTTCACTTTAGTAGGCACCATCTCCAAAGTTCTCCTTTTAAAGAAAAGTTAACTGCCTAGGGATAAATTCTCAGAAAGCCCTGATACTGTAAAGAAGATTGTCTATACGTGTACAGTGGAAAGGTCTACAGCTTTCAGCAGATTTGCAAAGAAGCATAAGACTCCAACATTTAAAAACCACGTCTCACAAGTTTATGGTAACCATTTTCAGGAGGTTTAAAACAGAATAGTTTCAAGACCTAACAACGCAGTTTAGATTTACGCTGATGGTTTATGACAATAGTTGTTATTTCATATAACACATTCTCATAAAGAAACACCAAATTTACCGGCTAGACTTCCCACCATCTCTGCAACCCTCATTAACAGAGTGAATACTAGGGAGCTGTCTGATTCAAGGAAACAGTGTAAAACACACACAGCTTAAAGGAGCTTATTCTAGTCAACTTCTCATAAAGAGTCTTGTTTAGTGTGGCAGACACTAAGTTCTTACCCAATATCCATGATCACTCTTTTCTTCTAAGAAAGATTTGCTTTTTTTTCTTTTCAACACATCATTGTGTTCCTCTGGAAGATCACAATTACCAGCCTACTTTGCAAAAAAGGTGAACAATAAAATACAAAGTTGGGTGAGATTTCTGGGAGAACTGTTTAAAAGGCACCCCGTTAGCTAGGATGAACTTCTCTTTTTTCCTTTTCTTTCTCAGTCCTGCCCTGCCGGGAATGCAGGCATGGTGTCAAGACTTTCAACAACCGTCTTGAATCATTAGGAGATCTTAAAGATAAAAGACGTGTGCTAAGAACTATAAAATGGAAAGTGGCCCTGGGTGACATCATGGAACTTTATACCCTCCCAGGAGCAGCTTCCTATACATTTTCTATGTGAGAAAAAAACAATTTTTAAGGCTTCAGGGTTTTTTGTTGTTTGTTTAAGGACATTTTTGTGGAAAGGAATCATTTTTATTCAGAAAGAAATGTAATTCATAAATACCATGGGCATTCAGCCCGCAAATTTCACTTTACTTTGTTATATTACCTAAAAGTGGACTAACTGATGGTTCATTTTGATAAATTGTGATGATTTTAATGGATTGTTTGCATGATATTGAACATTAGGCAATGAAGAACTATGATCTTTGAGAGGCAGGAAGTAAATGAGGTGAGTTCTACGGTTTCCCAGGTTACTATCATGATAGCTTTTCCAAACTATATACAGGAAAGGGGAATTTAAGCAGAGCCTGGTAGGTTCCCTGAGTTGAGGCAATAGACCTGAGAGCCCAGAAAGCTAAGGTGGCTAGAGTTCATAGGACAGAGGTCCAGGGCGTAAAGAGCTTCACAGAGAACTCTGGAGCTGGGCAGTGGGACCAGCCTGTATTCAGTAGACTAACAATCAGTACACACATGTGAGGAAACTACTCAAGGCCAGGAAAAGAACCACCTGAAAAGATTAAAAGGGACAGTGTCTGGGGATAGGCCTGGGAATAGTGCCTGTTCCCACCAGCCAGACTGGAAAACCTTAAAATTCATGGGGCATTGGGTAAAGTTATCAAAAGATCATGTCCCCACAATTGGGAATAATTAGCTTTGAACACTATTCCAGCCCTACCTAGAAAATCTTAATAACAAACCCCAAATAGCCAACTATTCCAAGTAACTTAACTACATCCCAGCAAAAAGCTAAAGAATATTTATAGGAATACAAAAATATCCCAACAAGGAATATTTTTATCCAACCAGGTATGTGGAATCCAATCAAAAATTACCAGGCAGGCAGAGAAGCAGAAACAGGATTCATAACGTGTAGAAAAACCAATCAACTGAAAACAACCCAGAACTGACTCAGATAATGGAACTGTCAGACAAGGAGATTATAAGTTAGTATATCATCAAAAAGCTAGAAGAAATATTGAATATGTTTACATAGAGACACAGAAAATACGTTTTTTAAAAGAAATTAAATGTCTAAAGACAAAAATTACAATGTCTGAGATAAAAAATAGACTGGATGGGATTAACAGAAGATTAGACCTTATATAAGAAAAGATTAGGGATCCAGGAGACATAGCAATAGAGACTATCCAAAAAGAAACGATGTGAGCAATGCAGCTACTTCAAGCAGGCTGAAATGCATGTAATTAAAGCCTCTGAAAAGAAGAGAAAAAAGGGAAAATACAAATAATGCTTTTTAAAAGGCTGAAAGTTTTTCAAATTTGATAAAAACTATTATCCAAGAATCTCAATGAACCCCAAACAAAAGAAACATGAAGAAAAGTACACCAAGACATATCATAATTGAGTTTCTCAAATCTGGTGATAAAAAGAAAATCTTAAAAGCAGTTGAGATTAGGGGTGGCAGAGAAGACATGTTATATACAGAGAAACAAAGATAAAGATGATGATACTTTTTTTATTACAAGTAATGCTAGTGAGAAAATAGAGGGGCAATATCTCTAAAGTTCTGAAAGAAAAAAAAAACCTTTTAACTTAGCATTCTATACCCAGCAAAAATATCTCTTAAAAATAAACATGAAACAGAAACGTTTCAGATATTAAATGGTGAAAGAATTCATCCACAGCAGACCCACACTACAAAACTGCTTCACATAAAAGAAAAATGTCAAAATGGATATAATGCTCTACATCAAGGATTAAAGAGAACCAGAAATTAAAATTGCAGCAAACAGAGTAGTTCCAGACTCACTTGATGTGGTCATCACTATCCTGATACCAAAACCAAAGGCATTAGAAGAATAGAAAACTATATCGACAAAAACATCAATGTTTGCCAGGAGACTGAGGCTGGAGGAAGGGACTGACTGCTGAAAGGCACGAGGAATATTTGGGGGCTTATGAAAATGCTCTATGTCTTGAATGTACTGGCAGATTCACGTGTGTACATGCCTTTCAAAACTCATCAAATTACAGAACGTAAATGTGTACACTTCATTATATGTAATTTATACCTCAATAAAGCTGAATAAAACAGAATGAAATAAATGAAAACAGCATATCTGGCAGATCCTATGGTTTGTCTCATTCAGTAATCAATCCAATCTCTTTCTAGAATGTCTTCCTGTGCTATAGAATGTATAGCAATGTATAGAGGCTAGAAACTGAAAAAGCACATTTCCCATTTTCCCTCACTGCTTTCACATGTGACTTATTTAGTAACCACAAGCAGATACATTTACTCAAAGACTTTAGCTAGGAATAGAATTTTGCAGAAAGAAAGTCAGAAAACAAATCATAGATTTTGCTGGCGTGGACCACGGCAAAGACAGCAAGTTACTGGAGCTGACCATATCCAGACTGCGGCAGAGGCTTCCTGGATGGTCCATTTCTGCAGAGAAGTTTTGCGAGTAGCCCCTAGAAACATGCCCAGAGTCTATATTTCTAGTGTGTAAACTAGCTATGCTCAATAATAATTCCTTCGTTCTTAAATTGAATAAAACAGTACTTTAAATAGATATAGAATTACCAAGCAGTCTCAACTCAAAGCAGCTAGTTTAAGAGACCCCACTACATCAACAGCCTTTCCATTCCTCTCTCTGTTCCCAGAATCCCCACTTAGATTCATTCTAAATGTTTTACAGTTCAGGTCCAGTGTGGATTTTGTGGGTTCCAACCATAGTTTTATGACTTGTCCAGAATCAAGACACTATTTCTAACTCATTTCCTACTGGAATTTCTAAGATAATTTGTGTCCAAACTGTTGGAACACAATCTTTCTGTGTAAAGAAGGTTTTCTGATGCCAAAAGAGCAGGACACTTGACCCAAGCAAGTTCCAAGCTGAACTTGCTCCTACCCCCTCCCCGGCTCCCCAACTGAGCATCCCAGGGCAGTGTATATTTGTTTTCTAAAGTAATTTCTTTCCCTTGACTATTTCATCGCTTCCATCTTCAGTTCTGAGTTTGACCGGGGAAGAGAATTATCAGGCAAAAAGAGCTCAGTATCCTTGTCAATCCTTTCATTCTTGCCCATGGAGCCCTGTTACTTTCTGTTCAATAACTAAATTCCTTTCTCACCACCCACCCTGGGCCTGATAGCAGTGATGGCAGTAAAACAAGGGAGCTGCGAAATGTTCTCAGCCTCTCCCCATCCCATCTCACTGTCTCCCACACTCTGCCTCCATATGCCTCTGTGTATGTCTCTGTCTACTTTGTTCTCTGGCCCGTTCTGTTTCTCTCTCTCCATCCTTAAAGACAGCTGTATTTGTGCAGATGATTCACACATCTTGATTTTTTTCACTCATTTAAATTTAAACTCAATCAAACGGTTTCAAGTGACTGTTTAAAACAGTACAGATGTTAAGGAAACTACCAGCATCAGCTTCTCTACCTCCCTAAAAGTTATGCTTCACCACGTGCCAAAACCCAGCAGAGGGCATCCTTCCATTTCAGATGCATGAATCCTGCAGGGAAAAAGCTCTTCAATCCCAGCAATGTATTTGTTCTCGAGTGCTTGCCTCTATTTTGAATTTAGAAGAAAAATCTCCTTTTCTAAGAATAAAAAAGAAAAAACCTCTGTCTCTGGACTCTCCAGATTTGTGGCATTAGCTTCAAATTTCAGATGCAACAAGGTAACACCTGTGTGATTCTTCTGCCTCTATGCTACTGTGTGTGTAAATAAAGTACTCACAGAGAAAAAGCAACTGTGAAAGAACCCTAGCTCCTTTGTCTGTTGCATGCTCCCTCTACCCCTGAAACTAGACGACAAATAGCAGGAAAGGTACTGCAGCCTGCTAGACTGAGAATTAGATGAGCGTGGTCAAAGGCGATGTAGACAGAGGGGTCAAACTTACCCTTGTACAAGTAAGCAGTCGCCTGCTAAGTTTAATTGTGCAGTTTCACAGAACCTAGAATTCCACAGCGAGAAATGCTCAGCAGAGTTTTTCCCGAGTTAAAATACAAATACCCACCACCCTCACTGGTGATTTTCTCCCTGGTGTGGATGAGTTTATCAGATTGTTTCCTGATGGAAGAAGGTCTTAGGGAGAGAAGGAAGGATTATGGAGACAATACAGCAACATTCTTACATCCATTCAATGTATGTTTTTAACCACTTTGTGCCAAACCCTGTTCTAGGTGCCAAGAACAGACCGGCAAACAAACTAGCAAAGATGGCTTTCCTTGAGGTGGTGTGCCAAAGCACAAGGATTTGGGAAGTCGGACAAACCTGGCCTTGCCCAGCTATGTGACTTGGAGCCAAGGAATTCATGCTCTTTTTCAAATCAGGGACAGTAATTGTTACTATTTATTAAAAGCATACTTTGTTCCAGGCAAGGGAACTGATCACTTCTATATATTTTATATATATCATAAAATCCTCACAATTAGCTTGAAGAAAGTTCCATTACCGTTCTCATTTTACAAATGAGGAAACCAGACGCAGAGTGATTTATAAATTGCCCAGAATCAGGAGAAGTATCAGAGCAGGAATTTAAAACACGCTGCCCAACTCCAAGGCTGTCTTGCCTCTTATACAATGTGCCAGCGTTGACTTCTAGGGCTAGCCTGTGGACTAGATGAGATGACACGTGTAAACTGAGAGTGCATTATAGTATTTTTTTAATTTGTTTATTTCTTTGTCATTGCTATCACTGCCATTGTTGTGGTTTCTGGGACGTCTGGGTATGTGTTGAAATATCAGAGGCTCAATACTCCAATCAAAATTTTTCTAGTTCAGAATTTGTTTGTGTCCAGCTCTGGTTACCAGAAAGAAAACTGCATAACGTCAGAGCTATTAAATCATGGCTTCTCTGCATGAGTCTTCCCATAAGACGACAGGCTGCCTCTAACAGCTATGGCCCTAGACAGGATGTCAGAACGCAAGTTCCCTTTAACAAACATGGGCATTTCCTGCTCTGGATTTTTCTAACCTCCCCTGAAAGCTGAAGACCAGATGCAAAACACAACCGAGACCCAAGTGTCCATCTGAGGCTGACAGCTGCTTTTTGTTCTCTGATAGGCGATCTCATTGTCAGTCCCGCCCCTGAGCCACGGTGTCCCTAGGCTCTTTGTTTGCACTCTTTCCAAAGTGCACGTTCCAGGGCCCCTTCTTGGCTTCTTACTGATTAAACACGTGGATAGGTCAGTGGGGGTTAATAACGCTAACACAGTGTTTTTCGAAGAGAAATGAAGCAGTCGTGCTTTGTTGCTGCTCTGGGAGCTCTCTGCTCACTGTGAGCCTGAATTTGTGCCTCACATTTCCAAATTCCCCGAATCAAGACTAATTTTAAACAGTAAGCAGATAAAATTCTGGCTCCAGGCCCCACTTTTATTGATTTCACATCAGGACTGTCATCTTAGTTTCATTAAGTAAGAAAGTGAGTGTTCAATAATAGGGTATAAGAGAATTCACAAAGACATATCTCTTATACTCCATTTTTCTCGCCTGCTGTAAAAAAAAATAGTTTTTATCACACATGTCAAGCTTCACAATGCAAAACTCAAGTCGACTAAACATTTTAAAAATATATTCCTGTTCAGAAAGACAATTTCACACTGATTTTATCTCACCATGCTTCTGCAGGGCTGAATACTGTAGTGACTTGGGGTAGAAATAAATGTTTCAAACCCTTCGGATTGAACTCCAAAAAATAGCAAGTGTGCCAGTAGTCATGATGCACGTTGCCCGTCATAGGCTTGTAGATTTCTATCAACACTGGTTGGGTTCAATTGAAAAGATTTTCCTTAGCGGAATACTCACCCCAAGATAATGGCCATCGATGAACACAACAGGGAGGGAGGGAGCTTCGGAAACCCGCCGGCACCGTTCGTCTAACTCTTTTCCATAGTCACCGTTCAGAGCTATGTTTTTCTCTTCAAATTTTACTCGATGGTTTTGGAAGATCTTTCTAACCAGTTCACATCTTTCGAAGGTTGTCCGGACCACACGAAGGCAAGTGGTATAAATCACTACGCGGTCAAATTCTAGTTCAGTTGATGGTTGCTGAAGGAAAACGTTGTAGTGTAAATATTTTGGCATTTGCTCTCTTATATCTTACCATTTTAAGACAATTAATGTTTCAGCAAATGTCCAACACATTAAAGGCATGCAATAAAAGTTGAATAAGCACCATATTTGTCAATTCTAAGACACATCTTTATAATTTGGAACATCTGCAATTGAGATGAGGATGACAATCAACATAATTTAAATGACATCATTTAATTGACAGTATTTTTTCTGTTCTCAGTGGCATATCATATAATGGCATATCTTAAAATTGATGATGCCATGTGGTGGAAAATAGAATGGTTGAATTCGTTTTCTCATGTTTTGTAGACATCACTCAATTACAATATCTGCCTCTAATACCCAAAGTAAAACATGTGACAGAACAGTCAAGGTTAGCATTTAACCATCTGAAAATTCTCCTTATCAATTTACCGATTTTCTAGTTTTTGAGCTACAATTTCCTGGGAATAACAAGACCTATATCATAGGATTGTTCTGAGGTTTAAGTAGCACAATGTGTGTGCATGAGCTCTGTTGAGTGACAGGGCTCCAACGTGCAATGAGAAGGCTCTGCCACGACGAATAGAAGACTAAGTGGCTCAGAGGAAGCACGCAGAAACCAGCACCAAGCTGGGCAGTGAGAGGGTCAAAGCCAGGCGTGAAAGGGAAACAAGGCAACAGAGGCAAGCAACTCTCAAAACCAGACTGAAGATGCCTAAGGAGAAAATCTTATTTTTTTTTCTACATTGTTTCCTGCTACATCAGAAATCAGTGACTGCCTTCCTGGGAAGCCGTGCCCAGCACTGCTAGGGCCATGTGAGCTGGGTCCTGCCATCATCCTTCTCCTCCTTACCCCATTCTTACTTGAAGGAGACTGAGCAGAACACACACAACTCTATACCATGAGATCAAGGGATATGTGAGTCTCCACAGGGCTACAGTTGTTGAAACACAACCACACAACTTGGAAACCCCTGTGAGGTCCAAACTTTGATTGAAAACCACTCCAGACATCTAAATACTAGAACCTGAAGGTAGGATACTAAGCTCCACCACACTGTATTCAAAGAAACGGGATCACTCTGCCGATGCAAACATAGATGGTCCTAGAAAGGTATGAAGTGATGAAAACAGCGATGCAATGGTCTCCACTTCACCAAGAGAGAGGATTTTTTTTTCCTGATGATAAAATTCATTAAAGATGTAAGAATCATTTCTTTCCTCAATAGAGTTTAGAGGTTAAGTTGAAAGCCTGGAGGCCTGGAGGGGCCAAGCAGGAGTCATAAATGCTGGAGCAGGTCAGGAGTAAGAGATATTCATGAGAGGCAGGGAGAGGGTCATTTGAAAGGGAAAAACCTAACTTAGCTTTAGGCAAGCTTCAGGCTTGCAGGTGTGTCATTCAGTGTTGTCGGATATGATTATTATAAACATAAACTTGAAATCTGGATTTTTATAGGAAATTTTCTGCTTTCTAAATCATGGCACCTGACAAAAAATGTATTGAGACCCCTGGACCAATATATCTGAAGGCTGAATTTGGCTTACAAACTGCTATTTTATTAATATTGGGGAGGGGAGAGTCACAGGGAGGTACTCCATATAAACCTGGACTCTGCCACTGGCCATCTGTGTCTTTAGGAAGCTAATAAACCATTAAGCCTCAGTTTTCACATCTGTAAAATGTGGTAATAGGAGTAGCTACCTAATAGGTTAGGAAGCTAATAAACCATTAAGCCTCAGTTTTCACATCTGTAAAATGTGGTAATAGGAGTAGCTACCTAATAGGTTTGCTAAGTAAGTGAGAATACGTAAACAACAAGTGTAGGGCTTGAAATACAGTATTGTGCTGAGTTATACAGCACTCCACATTGGGAAACTTTTAAGATTAAAAACACAAGCAAAAATAAGCCAATGGAAACGATTAGTGTAATTAATGACAAGAAAAGGGGGTTATTACTTTGCTTTAGACTAAGAAGCATTGTTCTTCGAAGCCTCAGGCTCCTCTTCATGTTCACGATTATGAACAAGTCAGGAATCAAGGAACTCACTGTGCCTGCTGCAGCTGTTGGAAGAGCACCGAAGTCTTCTTTTTCCTGATGATATTATTTGAGTAATTATGCATTATTTCTCTGGCTGCAAAGGCTGCTATAACTGCATTTGTTTCTGCCAAAATGTGCCACTTTTTAAAATAATACACTTACTTTTGAAATATTTGATAAGAAATACACTTTCTGCATCAGAAAAAGTGGGAAAGTTTAAGATTGGATCATTCTGTTGCCACACTAACCAACTCACATAGGATTCTTTCTGGTCATATAACAAATACTTGGTACCATTTTTCTGTCTGTCTCTAAGAGAAACACATTTGAAAAATAGTAAGAAGATGAACTCTTATCAGGTGGCCAAGTTAAATGCTGTCTAATGCAAAGAGTAACGAAAGTATCCCTCTACCAACTGTTGAGGATGAGCTTTGCCTGGAATCAATGGATCCCCAAGAGTATTGGATATCAGAATAAACGAGGGCACTTTAAAAAACCCCCAAAGCCCAGGCCAAGCACATACCAATTAAGTCAGAATCACCAGAGTGAGACCTCAGAATTGAGATTTTTTTTTTTTGAAAGCTCCTATGGCAATTCTAATGTGCAACCAAGTTCTAGAGCTAGTTAATACCAGTTGAAAATGCAGAATCATGAGCTTCACCCCAGATCTACTGAATCAGAATCTGCACTTTAATAAGATATCTGGGTAATTTGGATGCACTTTATATTTTGGGGAGCCTTGGTAAACTCACATAGGCAGCCTGATTTAACAGAGCAACCAGGTTTACATCCTCTTAAAATAACTGCTAGTCATTTATACAGTCATTAGAATAATTTACTTGCCAAACATAGTGCCAGGCACTAGATATAATGGTGAGCAAACAATGTAATGCCCTAACAACATGGAACTCATCGTCTAAAGTAATGAAAAACTAAGATGTTACATAAACAAATACAGAATTACAGACCATTAAGTGCTGCAAAGGAAATGCGCAAGTTGTTAGGAGAGGCTATTGTACAAAGTGTTTTCTGGTATTTGAGCTCTGATTGAAAGGGTAAGAAGGAGTTACAGAAATTAACTAGACAGAGAAAATGGGGAAAGATATTATGGTAAGCACAATGGTCTTGAGATGGAGGAAGATGGCATGTTTGAGACCCTGAAAGAAGGTCTTTGGCTGAAACACAAGAAGGAGAATTACAGTAATACTAAATGATTCTGGACAGGTATGCAGGATCAATATCATGTTAGATTTTATAGCCACTTTAAAGATCTAAGGGCTTTAATGTAAGAGCAATGGGAAATTCCTGAAGGTTTTTAAAGAAGATAAGAAGGGTTTACATATTTTAAAAATAAAGCAGGGTCAATGCAGATAGTCTCCCAGGATGTGCACAGCACAAACCTAGGGAGTATCATTATTCATATAGTGCAAAGGAATGATGCCCTCAGGGTTGTGTAGTCCCCATGTGAGCAATTTGGCTCAGTCTCATTCCCAACTCCCTTGGTCTGGGAAACGAGATTGAATACGGAATTCAAGGTAGGAAATATGGTTATCTAGTAGAATAGGCTACTAAGTAAAATTTTCTAGAAATGATCTTATTGAACAATTTTTGGTATGATTTGGAAGTAAATCTTTCTAGAGTTAGAAGTAGGTTGAATGATTTCTCAAGGTTGTTTCCAGTTTTATAATACGAATTTTAAATGATATTGTCTTTGGGGGAAAAAAAAAACCTCTTCTACATTTGCCTCATTTTTTTTTCCCTCAACAGATTTGTCAAAGCATCTGGACAGAAATCTAAAAATAGCCTCTCGGTGATGAGCTGTCCCTCTTCTCCTTTCCTGAGGGTTACCATGGGAATAGCGGAATGAAGGATGGAGGCATCTGAGACAGCAATGAGAAGCCACTGGGATTTGCAGCCTGCTTGTTCTGAGAGATCCAACCTAGATGTTAGTAAAAGTGAGCCATTTCTTCCTTACCATTGATGAAAAAAGATGAATCTTTGGTTTGCCCCCAATCCTCACAACAACCTGCGGCAAACACAGATGTGTTGACAAGGGATGGAAATCGCTGTGAACGAGACTAAGGGGTTGCTATGCAGCCAGTGTATGTCCGCAACCTGCACCTTGTCCAGCGAGAGCCACTGTGAAGCAGTAAGTACTGTAGTCACCTAGTCATCCTGGGACAATGCTGAAGCCCTCACATCCACGGGAACTGACAGTGGAATTGAGGCCAAAAAGAGGGTCAGCTTAGTGCAAACCCAGCAGCCCTGGCTGGAGCAGAGCCAGTCGGTTATTTCCTCTCCACCCTTTGCCTGTCCAGTCTAGCACTGGTTTGAGAAGGTCTCCTGAAATCAGGGACTCCAGACAATCCTAGGAACTCAGGGTCTTAAACAAAACCAAAAAATAAAATAAAAAGTAATATTTTAAAAGGTCAATATAAATAAATAACAAAGAAATAAAGGCAGATATAATGTTAATAATTTTACATTCACTTAATCCTCCCAATAACTTTCATGCTGTTAGTGTCTTTACTTATAGATCAAGAAACTTAAGGCTCAGAGGGAACAAGTGTCCTAGACAAAGTGACAAAGTGACAAAGTTAAGATTACAGCAAAGTTAGAAATCATGCCATTTGCAGCAACATGGATGGACCTGGAGATCGTCATTCTAAGTGAAATAAGGCAGAAAGGGAAAAAAGCAATACTACATGATATTTCTTATATGTGGAATCTAAAAAAAAAAGACACAAATGAACTTGCTTACAAAAAAGAAACAGACCCACAGACACAGAGAACAGACTTATGGCTACCAGGGGGTAAAAGGGGTGGGCAGGGATAAACTGAGAAATTGAGATTTGCACCTTTTGGGGAGTGATGGGAATGTTAGGTATCGTGATTGTGGCGGTAGTTTCATAGGTATGTACATTATAAAAATTCATCAAATTGTACATCTGA